CACTCACAAAAGAGATTTTAAGTAAAGCCCTGAGCAAAAAAAGATAAAAAAATAAATTATAAGGCTATATTAATGTTAACATTTATAATGTCTTAGGTTGGTACCTGAACTGAAAATCTGGCTTTCCAATGTAACGGGAGTAGCTACTTATTACCGCACATCAGGCCTAAGGACTAAGGAGTTGAAGACTATAAAACCAGACATGAGAAGTTTTCCTCCTCATCATGAGGTAAGGTTTGCTCAACATCTTGTTCAACTTTGTGGAGCGATACTATTCAATTTAGATGGATGTTTAAAGCACTGGCAAAAGATTTGTGATGCTCCTCGAGAATATAATACCAAGGAGGTATCGTCTGCAAAAGGATTTTTAAAGTTGTGGCAACCAACAGGAGTGCAAGCATGGCTAACTGCCGTTATGGTGGACACATGCTGTATCTTCAGATATATTGAAAAAGAAGCCCAGAAGCCTGGCATTATCATTCCGGATATCTTGAAGTACAGAGATACTGCCTTGCAAAAACTTGATATAATGCAAACAGAGCCATATCCAGGTAAAATATATATAGTTAGTAAGTTACTTTGTTTATAGAAAACAAATTGAACTCACTCTTATTTGAGTTCTTTAATTAACAAAGGTGTATTATTCATTACATTGTATGTTATTTTACTGCACATAGGTGGGCAGGAGGAGTTATTAACAAAGAAGATTGCAGAACTGCATCCAGAGAATGATGAAGCAGTGGATAATACACCAAGAAGGACACACAACACCAATGTGACAACGTTTCGTAGAGGAAAACAACCTATCAGGCAAGAGGTTATTGATTCTTCAAGGAATTTTCTCCAGGTAAAATGAGATAAATAGTTAATCTCATATCTGTTTAGCAATCAGGTCACACCATATAAAGTTTTTAATTACTATTACCTATATTTTTTATGTATATCATTATCATGTTTAGACCAGGCTCAACGAGGAACAAACAGAAATTGTAACAACCATTATCAACTTGACCTCAGCAAAACGTGCAATTGAATTCATCAACATTGCATTACCTCAACTTGAATCAAGTGGAATCAGTGATAAACAAGCATTTATTGATGCAGTTTTAGAAAATTTTACGGAAATGCTTCCAGATACACATATTCCTGCAAGAGACTATGGTGTGAGACTCTACCAAATGCTAAGGGGCAGCAAACAACCTGTGACCAAGTTTTTGTCAGGTTTTTGTGTTTTCTGCCCTCACAGTATGACGGTGGAAAGATGTGTGTCAACGTACAACATGTTATTCTCCAACCTGAGAATGGCCACATCTGAAAAAACACTGAATGATAGGCTATTGATTCACTGGAATGGAGTGCCAACATCTCAGTTTGACCCCAGTCCGATGGTGCAAGAATTTCTACAGAAAAAACAGAGGCGAATGAATCTTCCTAATCTGAGTTCATATGCGGAACGTGACTTCGTAAAGAAGTTTTTTACATCGGACTGCTGATTGATAGATTACATGTATATAGTGGTATACTATATAGATGAGTTTCACTAGCTGCCTGGCAATTATATATAAGTGAGAAAAAGGTGTGTTGACAACTTGACATTATTTTCTAAATTTGACCATCATCTGCTGCCCTAAAGCGAAACCCATATTTAAGCTAGTAGCCGCAATTTTATAGACTTTAGTAGATTTTTTTCAGGTCCCCTTTTTACGTTATTTTTGGTCCCTTGGGAAAGATGTCCCACCCAGTTACATATCCTTAAAAGAGGCCCTGTATCTATGGTATACGTACGTATGAAAAACGCAACAGTGGAAATCAGCCTTAAAACGCAATTTCAATTCAAAGGGCACAAATTTAGAAGGTGTTTTATGAACAATCAAACGTGACCTCCAAAACTTGGACTTTTTCCATAGTAGCCTTTCAGCCATAATTTTAAAACTTTTTGTACAAAAATCGACCATGCATACAATCAATTAATCAATCATGTATAAAATCAGTCTTGCGTTCAATAAATAGTGCGTCAACGGCTAATACGGCAAAAGTCCAAGTTTTGGAGGTCGCGCATTGGACTCAGCGTACATCAAACTGTCCGGTACTTCGGATAGTTCATAAAGCACCTAACAAATTTGTACATAAGCAGCAACAATAATATGGCACATTGCACCTTAATGGAGTGATGTCACCATCAGTGCCGGCGAGAGGGAAAGCACTTTGCCACGGGGACCCAGCTCAAACAGAGACCCCAACGCGATGAAGTCCCTTAAATTTTCTTGCTACAAGATTGCTTATCTGAGTTAACCCATTAAGCGCCAGCGCTCTCTCTTGACGAGTAAAATCGTCTGGCGTTAGATAGAGTAAAATGATAAAGAGGGACATATCAGGGCGTAATGGGTTAATGTAAATCCTAGCTGTGTCATTCAGCACCGGAAATTATGGAATATGCAATAACGGCACTTGTTTCTACAATATTGGTTTAGGTTTTATCTTGAAAAGAACCACAGCGTGTATATATATAGTAAAACACTGCTTCTCCTGTTTTACAATTAATAATAATAATAATAATAATAATAATAACAACAACGGTTTATTCACAGTATATCCATTACAAACAGAATGGCTCTTCAGCTGTAAAATTATCTACATTATACTAAATATACAGTAATCTATTATCATACAAGAACTGCAAAAGTTAAACTAGGGATCCAAGGATAGTGTGAAGTTTTAAATTGAAAAAGATTCTGCAAGAACTATATAGAGTCGCTGACAACCTAGAAAAGCTGATGTCTTACACTACGAAATAAACAATCACCAACGGCATTTCATCTCATTATATATTGCTTTTAATGCGCTCGACACACGAGTAGCGTGACGTTTGAAACAAGCCTAACACATCAGAAACGTGCTTTGTGAAACTGATACAATTTATCTATTTATTGTGATGCTACACGCGACAATTCGAAATTTCAATTGCAGCTGTTGCTAAAAGCATCCGCACAAGGCTACTGCAAACTTATAATTGAAATAGATGTATACGATATGTTATAAATAATAAGCACTACGTCGTTACATCATTGAAAGGAAGCATTTTATCTTCATCCGTTCCGTATTTTTTTCGCATTTCCGTTCTGTGGTCCGCTTCCGCATTTTAACCTAATTGTGGCATGTTTTACAATAACAAGTCCGCATTGACCTTTGACTTTTCCCAGTGTCACGTTGTGTCTATTTTTAACTTTTCGCATGTTTTGAACAATGTCACTTTAGATTTCAATAGTTTCACAGTTATAGCAGTGTTTAAAGCAGTTTTGACAAGCTTTGATACAGTTCTGTGTACAGAATACTACAGATTAATTCTCGTAAGATCCGGTAGAGTTAACGTTGCACTGAACACGAATTTGCACCGTTGACAACGGCGTTGTGCTAGACAGTAAACAAGGTCCGCGACAGTGCACGTTGGCTACATGTACCTCTTTGCTTTTTTCTTCCATTGCATAAAGCTTTGCATAAAGCTTGTTGGTGAGCCAAGCGATTGGCGATAACACGTTGGCGATAACATATTGACTATCTCCTCGTCTTTCTTATTAAAATAAGGAGCTCTAACTCAACTGATTTCCTTCGTCTCGCAATATTTTCTTCATAAACGCCTGTACGAACGCCCGCTTCTGTTTAAATAGTTGTTGATGCTTTATTGATCTGATGCAATTTTTGATCTCTTTATTGATCTGATGCAAGAGTGTACTATTCTGTGATGTGGCACCTTATACAGTCAAATAACAATGTATAATGAATACACGGTCTAAATAATATCGTCTATCGATGGGCACTTAATTGAACGCCGGTAATCATACTCATCAATTTATATATCATATTATTGCGTAGAATCTCAAAGATTTTCTCAATATTCATGTCTGAAATGTTTATATATTTGAAAAACAACACTGTCTCGCTTCTTCGTACATACAGGGTGTATAAAAAAAAACGCAACCTCGGAATTTCCTAAGAAATCACTTTGCAATTCTTAAGCATAAAAGATTTTAGGCCCCTGGGAATTGAAATCGAATTGCTAATAGATCATATTACTGTTGTTGTGCATTAAATAAATGCATCAATTTTGCTTTATGCACTCGCGTGTGCAGTAATTTTGACAGTTATGCTATTTTAAATTCCCAAGCGCCTAAAATCTTTTGTCTTTAAAACAATGTCGATTTCTTGGGAAATTCTGAGGTTGCGCTTTTTTTGATACACCCTGTACTGTACCCCTGTATAATGAGTATACCGTGAAAATAATATCAGCACTCAATTGAATGCCTAGAATCTCAAAGATTTCCGGCTCAATATTTTAATACGTCGGAAATGTTTATACACTTGAGTCTTAAATGCACTGTCTAGGCGGTCTAGCTCCTTCCTAGCTCTGTATAATGAATATACCGCCTAAATATTATTGACACTTATTAATTGAACGGCCGTAATGCATAAGATCAATTTATATATTGCGTAGATTTTCAAAGATTTACTCTATATTCACGTCTGAAATGTTTATACATCTGAAAACAACACTGTCACTCCTTCCTAGCATATCGTCACGCCATCGTGATCTACGGCTTGATAGCGCATGCGCATTTGCGCTACTAAAGAAAAATCGGGTGTTCCGGGGTAAAGATCCTTTACACAAATGAGAGGCGAATGTTCTAAAATTTACAAAGAATTACAATAACGAAAGCGATTGCTCGAAATTTTTGTGAACTTGGTAAAAGGATAACAGAATATGTAAATAAGTTAACTGAAATTGCCTAAATAACCTTCAAAGTACTGACTAAGCACAATAAATCACTACGAACATAAATCGCACACGCCCCCCGGAAAGTTTACTGTATGACTGAATGACTGACTGACTGACTGTTTCGTTTGAATTTTCCCCACCATCACAATACTGTGAAGTTTCGAAGAAACTTCACACTAAAAAGACAAATAATGCAATGCAAATCGGAATCATTCACTGTTTTTAAAATGTTTTTTTTTATACAACGACAGAAAGTTCTATAATTGTTAATATTCCTGATTTCTGCCGGAAGCTTATTAAAAATAGAGGTTGCTGAGTCTTGAAATGTTCCTGACTCCTTGGAAATATCCAGGACAGGTGCAGAAGATGATCTTAGACTATATGCATTAACGCAATGTAGCGATAATCTTAAATATTCTGGAAAAGAATCGTCATGTAAAGCTTTATATGCTAATTTTTCAATTACCATGTCATTGGGGCTCCCGGGTAAGTATTGCCCCGCGCAACCTCTCGGTAGCACCATATTTCTTTTTAACCTTTCACAGCAATGGTAAATAATTTTAAAAAGATAACTAAAGATACGTCCTGGCATTTTGAGATCAGCTTTAATTGTCATCAAGTCCTAAATTGACAATCCTAAGCCTGGGTGGCAGACAGTTAGGTGGGAAAGCCGTCTGCCAGGTTTGGCTATGTATTTTGGATCTGTGATACCACCCCCTTCCATGTATACTGACAGCTAAAAATAAATGTTCAAATTGAACAAACACTTAATGGTAGTAATAGAACGCTGTGGTTCTTTTCAAGATAAAACATAAACCAATATTGTAGAAACAAGTGCCGTTTATGTTTATAGGATGTCCAGTAAATATAGCCAAGTTTTAAAATGAAAGCAAAATTTTCAACATCACAAGCACAGTAGGTCAGCTATGTGTACTGTATGTGTCAAACAAATTAATATTCTGGACAAATTATCCTGGCCAAAACAATTAAAAAAGGTTTTCCAACATGTAATTCGAATTAACAGTTGACATATCAATACTAACTTAGAAGCTTTTAATTTGCAAACCATTGTTATTGTGTGATTAATAGATCCTGTTGTTCCGTCGAATAACAACTGTCCGCTGGTTTCTTTATAAACAATATATTTCCAATTTCTATACAATTTTCGTTGACCCTTGATCAGTCTATATTTTATTTGTCTCTAATTTCTACAGATCATGCATTCCTGTTTTAAGTGTTGAATACTTGAGTATATAATTAATTTTAACCAATCACGTTCCTTTTTGCCTAGATTTACATTTGATTAGGATTTATTAAGTAGTGTATAATATAATTTCACTTCTAGCATGTTCGAGAAGTTTCGTAAACTAATACCTGTATATCATAAGTGTCCTAACAGATCCATTAAGCTATATTACATTTATTTACGCATATTTCCTCTTGATCGACAATGGTAAAAATAGTACAGCCAATCATTAATTCCTGTCCACTGGTGGACTCCCTGAGCCGCTGTTTTGTATGCCGATAAATTATATATATTGCACCCATATAAGCTGACCTCGTTTTGTATGCCTAGGAATACTGCACCCCCAAGTTTGTCAATGGAAAGCAATGGGCAAAGCTTGCCATCACAACTGGTCATGCTATGATAATAAACCTGCATCTAAATAGGCTAAAGACAATACATTTCTAAAGGTTTGAATAATGCAAATCATTAAAAATTTGCAAGCATGACCTGTTACTATGCCTAGCTTGAGGGAAAGGTCTTGCCCACTAAAGGATGAATGAGTGATAACTCATATTTGATCAAATGTCAAAAGTAACTACAGTGAGGCCTAAAAAAATACCTGTGGTTCCAGTTCCTGACCGACCCTATTTTTGTCTGCCAACCCTATTATTTTTTCAACGTGGTTGCAGGCTGCTCATACGGCATGCCAAAATGGTGTCTGTTGTCACACTTATGGAACCAAATTGCCTAAATTCGTCCATAGGGAATATGCATCTCTAGTTAATATCGATGTTGGAACTCTACTGAAAATCGCCCAGCAAAAAACCACCAAAACCATAAAAAATATTTTAAAAAAATATTTATTTCCAACCTACCGACCCTAATTTTTTCACATTATGAAACCGGAACCACAGGTATCTTTTTTAGGCCCTGAGCATTCAAAATTGTGATTTGTACTGTTTCAATAAGCTACTCTCTCTAGTATGCCATCTCTCCAATAACTCCCCTCGTCTGAAATATTATCACTTACATAACCTCACAAGAGTCTTTGCTAAGGCGGATATTCTTTTTTGTTTCAATGGACTGATTGTTGACATATTTTAGTTGGACATAATCCCAATAAAATCCCCCACACCAGTAATCATTTCTGCCATGAATTTCAACATGAATGTCACACATGGACTCAACAATAAATTCCCCAGTGTTGTAAACAAACCATTTATTTGTCCCATTCCGCTTTTCCTGTTTCCTCATTGTCTTAACATCCCACTTACATGACAACTGAACCCCGCAGCCCTCTTCTGGGGTAGCTTTGTAATATATACATGCTTCCCCACTGCTATGCATATAGGAATCCTGCAATTTCATTCTCCATAACACATGATACTTCCCTGGAAGCACTGAATGAAATTTCCCATCCAGTTGTAACCAACAAACAGTGTCTAAATGTATCACACTACCAGTAGAGCTTTCTGGGTCATCAATTTTCTTTAAATACTGACTACCAAGGTGCACTATCGAATAGAAGTCTGCCACCGGCATTTTGTCTTTCCTAAATCGAAATAAACTTCCTTGAAACTTTCACTTCCTCTCTCGCTTTTATAATTAAAACTAGAAGTTACTACCGCAAGGAAAATGCTGCCTCAACCCCAAGGGATTAAAGGCAGCATGCACAATTTGCTGAATAAGGGGCTGTTTATATGATCCCACTTTGCCAGGAGATGTGAGGCAGGATGATTTTGATGTGCTTAAATAAGTCACGATGCATGATTCAGCAAAAAATTTCACTATTTTCTAGAGATGGATTACAGTATGGTTAGTAACTGTATTAAACAAAAAGGTTGCCTGTTCAAACATAATATAACCTTCTTGAACCACAAGATCTTCTCTACATTTGAACTACTTCTCTACATTTGAGCGTTTGAACTTCATTTAGCTGAGTGACTAATATTTTAATACATCAAAATCATCCCTTCTTCCATGACATGCAAACAGCCCTTTTAAAAGACGCCTGTTCAGGAGGTAGGAAAAGTGCAATTTGAATATCAAACATCTTGCCCAAAGTCGAAGGGCGGCTGAAAGTTCTAATTCCACTTTCTTGGCATGGGCGGTTTTATATGAATATCTTCAATGCTTATAACGTCTTGCTGTTGTATAATTATAATACTGTCAGTGGTGAAGCTAGTCATAGCAACACTAGGTCATGCTATGCAAGTTTTTAATGATTTGCATTATTCAAATAGATGCAGGTTTATCGGCAGTATAGCATGCATACAGTATGGCCAGTTGCCATGGCTAGCTTGCCGCTGAATACCGATACAATGTTTAAATGTACAGGTTTGAATATTTTGCAGTAATAAATTTACGTGGTGTTTCCCGACAAACAAATTAAACTATTATATATTTTATCGCCATGCAAACATACAAAATCAAAGAATTTATTATGTACAATGTTTATATAAAAATACTAAGGGCCTGTTTACATGGAGGCGAGTTACCCGGCAAGGCGAGAGTAACTCGCCTTGGCGAGTTCCCGGCAGGAAGAGGCAGGATCTTGCCTAGGCCAGATGAATACTTTCCATGTAAACACTTTGCCCAGGTAACTCGGCCACCTGAGATAGAATGTAATATGTGCTTTGCCATTGCAATATAATAGCTCAAAAATACAAACGAATCGATAGATAAGTTTTCCTGAATTGCCCGGCGCTTATTCTTGCACTTTCACTATATTTTGTAATGTTTTTAGCGTTTAAAACGACTTAATTGTCATGCAGCAATCATGCGACAAATGCCAAGTAACTTGGTTCCATATAAACAGAGCGCTTGTTTGTCCCGCCTGGGCAAGTAACTCGCCTTGCCGGGTAACTCGCCTCCATGTAAACAGGCCCTAAGTCGGGGTTTATTCCAATTATTGTTTTAATATGCCACCTTCAAGGCTGACAAGTTGACAACAGAACAATATCAATATGCTGATGGGGAGACAATATCTATTTGTTGACATTTCTAATTGTGAACATAATTTATCGAAAAATATAATACACTGTGAAATGTAGTGACACAGCCAGATGAATATATTATATATATGAATGTAGGCTGGTAGGATTATTTCATATTATGCTAACAATAAACACACAGTCATAAAAAATCAGTTGACATACTATTACATGTAATCATATTGCTGGTATAAAGTTAATATGTGCAGAGAACAATCCACACTGGGTTGCTCTAGGGATCTTATCACAGTAAGCCTGATTTAACAGCATTCCGCGTTTGTTGTTAAACTATAAACATCTAGAAATGAAACTATTACTCATCGTCTTGGCACATAACAAACAAATATTAAAACTGAGTACATTGTGACTCGTAAATAAGGCATTATTGACGAATAGATCTGGTGGGCTATTAGACACTGCCAGTAAATTCATGAAATACTTCAGAGCTCTTAAAGTACATCTTGTCTCCTTGTATTTATAAACATTATCAAATGTTCTAAACGACCATACGGACAATGGGAATATTTCGGGCTGTATTAAGAAGCGCCGTAAACTCATGACATGAAAGCACATTGCTTGCCTCCAGAATGAACGCTAAATAATTCATAGCCTTGATGGATATTAGCACAAAGAAATAAAGCCATACTTACCTGGTTTCTTCTGGAAATGTTCGTATATTTTGCATCAAGTGAAATCCAGAATAAGTTTGCATATACTATAACCATATAAATATGTACACGCGCAATTTGATATTTTTCTCGCACTCCCCCCGTCCGTTCCCCCCCGGAAATACGACATCTTAACGGACAGACACAAATCGACATCTCGACAATACATAGATCGGCGCGAAAAACTGGGTCGAGTGAACTCTGGAGAAACCTTCATGTCAAGATTAGGAGTGCTGCCTTCGGCAGCAATTAA